CGGAACCAAAATACCCAACAACCCTTTAGACACTTCAGAACATGACAAGACGACCGAGACCGATGGCTTCGATAAATCATGCAGGCCACCCTACGCAATAGGTGCTTTCTTGTGAACGGGTACTTGACTGGCACGAACAGAGTTCCAGAAGCAATTGCTCCAGCGAATCGACAGCTCCAAGGCAACAGCAACTGATGATAACACATTTTAGTCTTAATCCGGACTAGGCCACTGCGCCCCCGGTCACTCACGAGGAGGCATTCCCTGTGGTAGCGGAGAAAACAAGGACCTGTCCCCTCTCGTTGGGGACGGAGGTGAAAGACGAGCGTAGACTAGTTAGCTAGTTACCATCGTGCTTCTATGAGGTACATCCTCTTGTTCCAATGAAACTGAATGCTATCCCCTCGTGTCGTGCGAACACCCACATAAACGACTCAGTTGCTTGGGCCCTCGGGCTCGATTCGTACCAGCGTTGACAAAGGTCCTCCGGACCAGATAGGTAGTCTGCCTAAAACTAGTACTTTTTATATATATAAGAGTCGCAAGTAATGATAATGAAAGAAAAAGAAGTAACTTCGTATTGAGTTACACCCTTGAGTTACCGTTGTTAATAGTAATCGAGCGAATTTTCGAAATTGTTTGACAATGGCCAAACGCCTAGTACACGGCTGCGTAGAATGTACGCATGAAGTTTCTTTTGCTTGATGTGCAAATTCCAACCGAACTTGCTTCTGAATTCAGAGTGAACTACGATCGGAATATTGTGAGATTAGACTTAAAACTAGCATTAGGACGCCACGTCATACACGTGCGTATGTCAGTACCGGTACCGGTACCGGTACCGGTCCAGAAGCAATCCCAAGATCCGTTCGGTCCTATTTATTTATGATAGCTGTACTATTAATTTACTAGTAGGTTTTATGGTCGTCCTCGTACTCAACGAGTTTTGTACTGGTTTTCCTACGGTCGCTGTAGGTTCTACGGCGTCCTCGTACTCAACGAATTTTGTACTGGTTTTCCTACGGTCGCGGTCGTCCTTGTTCTCAACGAAATAACCCTAACCCGCTCACAGTTGGGATTTTGGAGCTGAAGCTGCCTAGTAGCGGTACTAGTACAGTACACTGTACCTGGGTTCGGCATTTTGTCTGTTTGGGAAAGTGTTTTGGCGATTAAGTGATCCTTCTGTAAATGTCTACACACCTTTAGTAAACATAAGTAGACAAAGTAGACATTGTGCGACTTTGGTAGACATTAGTAGACAAAGTGATACATTAGTAGACATTGATAGACAAAGTGAGACATTGTGAGACATTGTGAGGCATTGGTAGACAAAGTGAGACATTTTTGTACTGTTTTACTGTACGGTGTAGACATTGGTAGACATTAGTGGACATTGTGAGACATTGTGAGACATTAGTAGACATTGTGAGACATTGTGAGACATTGTGAGACATTGTGAGACATTGTGCGACATCGTGAGACATCGTGAGACATAAGCTATTTTTACAAAGGAGCATAGAACATTTAGGCAACTCTGTAATCAGATACAATAGCCTTAAATAGACAAAATGCCGAGTAACCCAGGTACCCATTGAGATCTTCAAAGATATCGTTCGGGGTACCGGTACCGGTATCGGTATGCATAGCTTTGGTTTTGTTTCAAAGGCGGTACCGGTACGGTACCATACGAGCAACACATACCGTACGGTACAGGGTACCCATGGAAGGAGCTGACTTTCTCTTGAAGCACCATTCACAGACAACAGCAGCACCACAAGATCGGGACGTGTTGCGTCTTGAAGGAGCCTATCATGAGCGACCCAGATGGCGAAGCTGAGATGGAGCGTATTGTGCGATGGATGTATGCAGAGATCGTCACCATTAATTCAGTCCAGCCCGCAGTGTTAGGAGGCAGATTGAGAACAAGCTTTCCGCCCAATTTGAATGACCGAATACTGTAGGTAGGAACATACGGCTGGACAGCTAGCATCAATCCCTTTCGATGCCACACTCATGTTTTCTAAATGATCCATAGATAGTATACCGTACGTGTAGATGGACAATAAAAACGGAGAATTTTCTGTACCGGTTCTAGTTAGCTACTGGAGTTGTGCCTACTGGACTACGTCATACGATTTTAGCAAGAGTGACTGGATTTAAAGAAAATTTTACTGAAACAGTGGCTAGCTAGTACATGTACACCATGTACTCTGAAACTTTCCTTCAAGACGATTTTTTTTTTTTTTCGGTCTTGAAGGGAGGTTTTAGTGTACTGAGACTTGCCTTCAAGACGATTTTTCCGTCTTGAAGGGAGGTTTCAGTGCAAAAATTCCAGAGTTTTGCACTTCCCTTCATGGTACGTGCATGTGCATGCTGTAATCATGAGAGACCTGACAGAGAAGGTTGGAATATCATTTTGCAGTCCGCAATAATCCCATTGGAACAATCGGGGGCTGTTTTGTGGACTTTGACCATGGAAAGTTAGACTATTAGGGCGAAAGCTTTTGCAATGATAGAATGAATGATTGAGATAAAATCGAATTTGCATCATAAAAGGCGACGGTACACAACATGTTTGTCATCGTATCAGGTAGCAGAAAGCAAGCGAGCTGGGATAGCAACAGGTGCTCTAAAAGCCTTTGCTAGGGCACAGATAGATCGTTCCAAGATCTCCAAGGTGCGCACCTCTGACCGTTTGCGTGAGTTTGTGCGCCGTAATACGAGTTCGGCTGGTCATGGGAATCTTGTTCTGAGATTACAACGTTTACTGGCTGAAGTGGGGCTGACTGGGTGGTGTCATCTTTCCAGAACATTTAGGAAAGATCCGATGATGTATGTTTGTTCGAGTGCACCTTCCTTCATTTTTTGGAAGGGAGAAGCAGAAGAAGCAAAGCAACAACCTGAGAAGGTGACGCATCCCTGTTGCACAGTACTACCATACCAACAGCAGCAGCAGCAGCAGCAGCAGCAGCAGCAGCGAAGAAGCCACTTTTTATTATCATGAGCACAAGAAACAGCAGCAACAGCAGTGTCCCAGCACTGTTCCACAAAGATGTCGAATGCAATGAATGCGGAGAACATCCAATCTTGGGGACCCGGTATCGTTCGACGAGACGCCACAACTACGATATTTGTCAACTCTGCTTCCAAGAGCACCACAATGGCGATGCCGGAGATTTTGCAGTGTTTGATAAACGTGCTGCTACCCCCGAAGAACTCTGCGGGATATGTCCTCGACAAGGTAGAGCGGTAGTGGCCAACTCGATTGAAGAATTGACAGAACGACTTTCACAACGGCAGCAACCACAACAAGAGGAAGACGAAGCAGAATCACCTGCCGAAGATATCGAGCTGTATCTGAATCTCAATCGATTTTCGACCTTTCCAGATGCCACCATTATTCGCCTCCGATTGGCCATGGTTCAGAACAAAACCGTCAAGAGTCTCCGCATATTCCTCCGCGGGACGTTTAATCTCAATCGAGCCATGCAAGTCCTAGCCGAAGCGTTGGTCCTCAACAAATCCATTCGCTATCTCGCGGTATCCGTGTGTGCCAGTCGTCGTCAAGGACGAGCCGATGGAGCCGCACAGGCACTCCAAACACTCCTTACAACGAACCGCACCATTCGCTTTTTTCATTTCAAAACCGTCAGCCGCTTTGGATTACACGGAGCGGACGGGGAAGGATTGGGACAAGATTTGGTCGCCGATTATCTATTCAGTGCCTTGGCGACTACCACACTCTGTCGATTCCTCTATCGAGGAGGACATTGCAATGTATCCAACTGTAACCGACAACGGGCTTGTGAAGCCATGAAATCCAATCCACACTTACGCCGTATTGAAGCTACATTTGATGATCATGATGACGACGAAGGAGAAGACTTTCAATTGGCGTTACTGACCGGGATCAAAAATCGACAATGGATGGATCGATGGATCGGTGAAGCCGCCACCAAACAAGATCGGGTCAATGTTCTGGAGGAAATCTTGCAGCGTTCTCAGTTGGCGGATAAGACCAGCGCCATGTATCACTTTTTGAGATGTCATCCAAGGCTGTTGTTGGAATAGAAGAAAAGAAGTGATTGTCTGGCGGATAGAGGGAAGCTATGGCATTCATTCGTTGTTCCTGAATGGCTGAGTTCGAGATTCGGTCAATCCCCTGTTGCCAGTTGCGCTGTTGTTTCGTTCTTTGCACCTAGTGTTGTAGAAAAGTTAGTGTTCAATAGTAAGTTATGGCTTTTAGTACCTGTACAGTTGGAGCCAGCGCCTCAGGCAAATCTCCCTGTAACTCTACTGTGCACTGCTGCGACAGCGAGGGAAGGGAACTTCGGGTGAACACTCGTGATGGCGGCGAAAGAACCGAATTGCCGTGATTTATTGCATTCGCTTCACCAGCATACAACATAACCCTATGATATACTGATACTGGACTAACCAAACAAGAATAGTAACAATCACCGAATAACGATAAAAAACGGGGAGAGAGCCCATTGGATGTCACAAGGGCATCCTGGTCTAAAGGTCCGATTTTGCAATCGAGACACCTGGATAGGGGGATCAACCTGATATCCCCATGCTGGAACCCTTGTGGCTTTGGACATCTTAGGGTCAACACCATCATTCAACAATGAACTCAGTTCCAGTTCACCACTACAAGCTGGATTGATGTTTGTGGATTGGTCGCCCGCAATTGTGACTGTCACACTGGTTCAACATGTGGCTGTGGCTCGATGAACAATTCCACTGGGGGCGGCGCAGAGTCAAATGTGAAGAATGCATCTTTGGGCAATATCTCTTTGCTCAAATGAGCATACAATCCTGTGAGTTAAGGAGAGTGGTAAAGTCAGGCTTGTGCTTCTTTTGCAGGTTGAAACACCCTATCAACCACTACCAATGCCATGGCATTGGCATTCCATTCTGGGGTCATCATCATTCCTCTTTTAAGAATCCAATGATATCTTCTTCAGGATTTCATACACCAGTCTAGCTAGTCTTGTGGCCGGTAGATGAATGTAACAAGAACCAAATACTCTTCCCATGAAGTGTCATCCAGTTCTACGGTAGTACCTCAAGAAACTTCAAGGGTACAGCACGTGTGGAGCCCAGAGCATGGTGCCGGTAGACACCAATCGGCAGAAACTGCCAAGCTGGTGCTACAGAGGTGCTTGCCCTTTGAAAGGGAATGGTTGCTGCAGAGCTGGCTCTGCAGTGAGAGCGAGAAACCAAAAGGTCTTTTGGTTTCTCTCTACAGCGCATGTGTAGGAAGGTGAGCAATTCTTTTTCACCCAGCTCGCTCGAACTAACGTATGTACCTCGTACCAGCTAGCTGGACTACTGGTACTGATTAGACTACATGATGTTTCAGTAAAATTTACTAATCCAGTCACTCTTTGCTAGAATCGTTTGAAAGAAACGATTGCCAATAAGAAGGTAAATGGTAAAAAGCTTCTAGAAAGAATAAAATACCAATTTTGCTTGAATTACGGTGGCCACGTCAGCATCAGCCGGACTGGCAGGGTACCGCTCCATATTTTAAAAATATATATAAGGGGTACCGGTACCGCTCCAGGAAGGCCCGGTCACGCGACTGCTGGTCGCCAAAAATTAGCTTAAAGTCGCACACAGCATCAAAGTCGCATCAAAAGTCGTATATAAAGTCGCATGCGAGTCGCACGAAAGTCGCGTGCGACTTTCTCGCACGACTTTCAAAGTCGCGCAAGATTTCTTTAAACAAGGTGACAGAGTCGCGTAGGATCGCTGAAAGGCGTTTAGAAAGTCATGCAAAAGTCGCATGCGACTCGCACACGACTCGCACGCGACTTTGTGAACGACTTTCAGCGATCCTACGCGACTTTGACCGATCCGGGACTTTAAGTCGCATGACGGGGCCTTCCAGCTCAGCCGAAGGCAGCAACAAGACCTTTAGAAGCAAGACAGTGTAAAATGGTAGTTGATGTAAATATGGGGTTAAAGATACATTTCATGTACATCTACTAAAACTGAAATAGATTTCAAATGCAATGTTTGTTTTGCCGCATCTACCTGAAACCTGAATCGCAAAGCTGTCTTCAGCAACAGCAACAACAAAAGAACCACAAACTGACCAAGTGGAGACAACGACACGACGACACGACGACAACACTCAGGTGGCGCTGCTAATCTCCCCATAAAGACAACAGAGTTAGAGAGAGAGAGAGAGAAAACCTGTCTATCCCCGATAGCACCACTCGTACTAGTGCCGCCAATCGCTTATACCATTGCTACCCTTTGTTATTCTGTCTCCCGTTTGATCGTTCCAGAGAGAGAGAGAAAGTGAGCTGATTGTTTCATTGGAAGATGGGCGCCTGTACTGAATGCCGTTTAGCTAAGGTTAAGTGTGAGCAGTGCTTCCCATGTGGACGATGTCAGCGTTTGGGCAAGACCTGTATTCCTCATGAATCGAAACAAGGCCAGAATCCCGCCAGACGGAAACGCAAGCGAACCAGCCCCAAAGCTCCTGCCGTGACGGAAGATGTTCGATTGGAATGTGCCTTGGTCACAGAGGCCCGAAAGGATCACTACGCAGTGAAGCACATGGTGCGGCAATGGATTGCCTTGTCCATCAAGCGTCGCTCCTTCAAATTGTGGGCTCGTGCCGGTAACTTGGCCGTGGCCAGTGGGATTTCCATGGACGAGGTTCTGAGTGACAAGAATGAAGAACATCGTTCCATGGATTTCATCCACCGCATGATCACCTCTCCGACCGAAGACCAGTTGATCATTGGCAAACGGCCCATGAAACCCAACGATGTTCCAGATATTCTCTGGAAAGCTGTTGGTATGCCCACTGATGAACGCATGGAACAAGCTCTGGACTCGCGTTGGTTTTTTATCCGAGAAGTGATCCAGGGCACCAATCGATTCTACGTCTCGCCGGGATTTGTTGAAACAATTGGTGTCTCGCTGTCGACCATTGAAGCCACCTTTCGCGCCAACAGAATGGATGTCGCCAATTTGATTCATCCCCCACACACCAAGAATAGTCAAGAACAGGATTACATGACCAGTTTTGCACAACAATTGGCACTCCACAGCAGACCAGGGATTACACCCAAACCCACCAAAATACCCAATGTTAAGATTCTGGTTGGCAACGACAAGCATGAAATGGTGGTCGATCAGCTACTCTGTATTTACATTCAGCACATGGACGTCTCCTTCGCCTTGTGCGAGTATGTGGATCCCAATGCCAAAAAAGTGGGCATGACTGGCCAAGAGAAAGATGAGATGGATCTCGATGATTTTTACCTCGATCTTGATTCCGTTGCAGGAGGTGATGACGATTTCAAGATGATATGTGATCTTCTCAAGGACAGCTAGCTTGCCTGGCTTTATTATCGCTACGATACTCACTGAATGTACAGTCCTCATGGTGTTTTGTTGTTCACCCAAAGCTGCCCAACCATGAACACATGCCGCTTGGTAGTGAGGAAAATTCCACAGTATGGTGGGACGATTGAATGTTCTCCTGTGTAGACGTGAATATGGTGCTAACGGCCCTGCATGGTTGATAGTGATGTTTTATTATTTGTTGGAACGTGTACATTTTCATGGAGGGAGGAAGATGGAGCAGTCATTTGTGTCTTCTCAAGGAGTACGGTACACTGCAGTCGGAGCAATGGGACAAACACGCACAACTGATTAGACGGAAGCGAGATCATTCTTCTTGGTCAAATTCCATGTGAAGATGACACGAAAAGAATTCGGACATGTCATCCCCTGATCCAATACTCTTCGTCTCCCATTTGTCGTCGTCGCGGTCCACCGGCCGTTCCACGTCCAACATTTCATCGCTGAAATCCTTGGTTTCGCTCTCACGTTTGGCTTCCAACGTACCTGTGGCAAGCACACGAAGGGGTCCATGTTCCGCTCGCTCGGATGCACTGTTGGCCATGGCGTAGCAAAAGTCGTGAAGGACACCCGAAATGTCCACCTCGCCCATAAAGAGGGTGCCGTAAATCACATGCGTGCCATTCACCACCGAATTGTCCACAACGGTACGGTCGCGAAAGGTCAAGAACGGAGAATCGATGCAGTGGCGCCCGAAATACAGGAATCGACCCTCCACTTTGGATCCAAGAACCCATTGTGCAACGTACTTGTAGAGAGGAGTTCCCCAAAGCAACCGGACAAAGGACCAGGTTTGCACAGTCACTCCAAATTGTCGATACGACTTGTACATCTGATAGGAGGGATATTCTCCGTATCGTCGTCTCCAAGGGTCGTGAATCAAGAACAGCAGGTAGTACACGGACAGCCACAGTAGTGTGACAGAGAGAAAGATGACCACCAACGTGGCAATTTCCGTCGCCACGTGAGTCGGATTCACGGCGAGCCAAATCTCGTAGGCAGGCAACAAGGTCAGTCCCAGGAGCGTCGCCAGAGCTGCGGCAAAGAGGACACCCAGGAATTCCTCCATCCAGACGCAGATGGTCGCTTCCCGCATGTCGGAGGTTCGTTCATCCAGGTGGCTCACGTCGCCCGAGATCTTGCCCTCGACGGCACGTAGAGGCTGCACAATGCAGTTGGACACAGCACTTCCTGGCTGGAGGGCACATTTGCGTCCAAGGCTACTGTTGGAGATGGAAACGGGGAGATACCGTCGGGTCTCACTGCACTTTACCGAAATCTCTTCGTCTCCCAGAAAGGATCTACGAACAGTGACCAAGTCAACCTTGGAGGGCGGGAACACATGAGCAAATGCAATGTTGCTCGAATAATCCGCGTCGAGACCGTGAAGCTTGAGGTAGACGGTCCAGAACAGCGAGTACACGTGAACCGCCATCAGTGGACGGATGACAACCCCAAAATGGTAGTCAGCGGCCCAATCAGCAACCAGTCGAAGGGTCGTGTCAGAGTACACGCCGGGCTTGCGCTTTCCAATCAGGAGCCATTTGAGAGGGATGCTTGTGAGCGGGGCTGTGATAAACATGATGGCGACCGAAAAGCACCAGAAGCACCAGAAGAACCATTGGGCATCAGTTGGCAGGAACTCCATCACAAGGATTTGTGAGGACAGCAGCATAGCCATGAAAAAGTAGAGCTCCAAAAGCAGCCACACAATCTTGAGTATACCAATTGCCCACCAACAATTTGCAGGAGTATTGTGGTTGCTAGGTTGCTTTCGCTTTTGAAAGGCAGGGTTTCCAAGAACCAAAACACCACTGCGGACAGCGCTGCACTCGGCAACAACGGCCATCTTTTTGACGGTCACCTCCTTATAAACAGTGCTTCCAAGGCTCACAAGACCATCAATCGTACAATTCTCTCCTATGGTAATCCTTCGAAACCGCATCGAAGGCCCTTCCTCGTTGTCTTGCCACAAGGCGAAGCGTCGGCAACGGACGTCATATGATACGGTCGTGTTGCGACCAATCCCGACCAGGTCCGGTTCACGAATAAATGCCTTGAGATTGACAGATGAATCCAATTTTGCACCCAACAACCGGTAGAAGAAGACCAATAGAGGGGTATCCTTGATGTAAGTTCCAATGAAGAACTCCCAAACATCCAACAGTCGATCGACGAACCACCAGCGTGCGTAGTAGAGCGATGGTGTTTTGCAGCCACCTTCTTGATAGCGGCCAATCACAATCCACTTGGCCGCCACCACGAACACTGAAAATGACAGGAAGAGAGCCGGGATCAAGATTGGCAGCCATGCCCACTGGGAGATGCAGGAACAAGCGATATGTGAGCGGCATGTTGCCATAAATGAGTTCGTTGTGATGGGCGGGACACGGAGTTCCTGGACTCACCTGATGCCAATGATTGCCGACTTGGAATTGCTCTGTAATGATCTCAATCTCGGCAATCCTTGTTGACAGCTTCCAACTCAAAACCGCACTGCTGGAAACCAGAAAGAGCATCAACAGCACTCCAAAGGATTGAATGACGCCCAAGGTGTTCCATGTCATCTCCATCGACCTAATGCGCCTGAGACCTCTTGTTTTCATGTTAATTCTCTCGCCTTCGTGTTCTTGTATGAAAGCTTCGAGCTCTCTGGGTGTTGTATACTTCTGCAACATTTCCGGGTTGACTGTGACTGGGAATTTTTCGCCAATAGCATGGCACAGGTCGATTGACGCCATGGAAGAAAGTCCCAGCTCTTCCCACGAAAGATCGGGGTCATAGATGCCCGAGAAAAAGCGGCCGAGAATCTCACGAAGTGCACTCTCTGCGGACCGAGGCTTTTCGGGGTCTGCGAGGTCAACCTTGAATGAAACCTGACGGCTTAGCTTCGTTGAGACCTTGCCCTGTTGATCAACGTTGCCCCGTTGGTCCATGTAAACAACAGTGAGAGAGTCCTTCCGGAGGGCCTCTCTTGAGGCTCGACGCTGGATTTTGCCACTTGTAGTCTTTGGGATCGACTTCTCGGTCACCAACACAAGTCGGCAAATGTCTATTCCCGAGGTTTCTTGCACCGAAGAACGGATTCTGCCGCAGACTTCTTCAGCCGTGGCCTCCATGCCATGTCTGATCTCACAAACTACATCAACTTGCGCGTCGCATAGCTCCGACGCGAACGCTGCAACACACCCGGGACGAACCGCGTCAGAAGCAGTTTGCACAGTATGCTCAATGTCTTGGGGGTATATGTTGGCACCGCCAATAATGATCATGTCTTTGATGCGCCCACAGATAAACAAACGGTCATTCTCAAAGAATGCGAGATCCCCTGTGCGAAGGTAGGCATCATGGCTGGCTTCCTCTTGTCCGTCAACTTGAAGCATGGCACGGAAGACTTCATTCGAGAGCTCGGGCCTGCCATAATAACCTGCTGCGGCGGATGGTCCGCTCAACCAGAGCTCACCCGTTGTTCCATCATCCACTTCCTTGAAGGTTTGTGGGTCCACAATCTTGGCTCGCGCCGACGGCAAGAACATTCTGCGATCCCCTACAGCCACTAATGGGTTCATGTCTTCCTCCCGAGTGGAAACGTGGTATCCATTCGACCAGGAGACGCCCACAACGTTCTCTGTAGTAATTGCAGGAGATAGAAAAGGTATGAGGCTGAGGATTCCTGGCCAACTCACAAAGAAACCGAACCAGCAGTTGCTTGCACTTACCTGCGAGACCATAAACACCATGGAAGAAGTCTTCTCGGAGGCCATTCTTTCGAAAGCACTCCAAGAAGAGTCTCTTGCTGTCCAGATGGATTGGTTCTGCGCCAGATTGGATGCCGCTTAGGCAGGACAGATCAAGACCTGGCAGTGGTTCTCTTCCATGTTGTTGGGCTTCCTTGTACTTTCGAACGCAGAGTCTGAATGCAAAATCAGGACCCACCCCAAGCGTAACCTTGTGCTTGCTCATGAGGTGTAGCCACAGGAGAGGGTTCCGAATGAATGATAGAGGAGACATCATATGAAGCCGCCATCCCGCGACAAAGGGGGAAATACAAGCATGGATGAGCCCAAGATCATCTGAAAAGTAAACAACATCCACAGGTCAGGTTAGTTCAGTTCAGTTCAGTTCAGCTCAGAACAGCTTGGACAGCAAGTAAGTAAGTAATCGTGGGAGTCCGCAACGTACGGTATTGAGGAAGCCACGAGAACCAAGTTGGAAGCTCGCCCTCCTTCAGTTTTCCGATGCCGGGTCCCTTGCTAAAGTACTTTTCCCAACCATCATGATTCAGTTCAGTGTTGGCTTTGAGTGCTTTGTGCGTGACCATGACACCCTTCGGTTGTCCAGTCGAACCTGAAGTATACTGAATGAAAGCGAGATCCTCTGGTGCAATGGACTCGTCATAGGGCTCTACATCTCCATACTTGAGCTTGTCAGTTACGTGGAAGGGAACGGAAGGCCAGAGAGCTTTTGTGCTGGAGAGTGGATTGCTGCGGTCCAGCAGACGAAGCGCATTGACCCGTTTGTCAATGAGAACAGCCTTTGGAGAACAGTCCTCTACGACTGCAGCGAGTTTCGTGAGCGATTTCTTGAGTGGTGGGGCCGGAGGATAGACTAAGGCGGAAACAAACGCATGGCTGGGTCGTGAGGGGTCAAGTTCCATTTGGCAGGCCACGATCGACATGTTTGCTCCGCCATTTAACTTACCGAGTACAGGGACAACCCCGGCACGAAGACAGCCCAAGAAGACCTCAAAGAAGTGCAAACCGAAATCGTAGCAAAGCACAACAAGCTCGCCCTTTTCAACTTTCCAGGTGTGCTTGAGATGGTGAGAGACCACACCAGCATGGTTCCACAATTGCCCAAATGTTCTCTCCGTCTCGAAGTTGCCTTTTCCATCATACCAAGAGGCAAACACTTTGTTGGGGTTTTCCTTCAAAACGGTGCCGCGAAGCTGGGAAAGGATGTCGGGGTGGCCAGCACCATCGACGACTAGTTTGTTCATGTTTCAAGTAGTTTGACCTTTGTTGTTTCCAAAGTTAGTTTTATGAGATAAAGATTAGATGTCAAAACAACCTCGGCTTTGCCAAAGCTTGTGATGCTTCCTGGCTTCCGTGGATAATCTGCCTACAGTAAAACTTACCGATAGAGGTTACATTATCTGGCGTGTCTTGTTGCGGTGTTGCGGTCACTCTGCACACAGGCATGAATCTGCTGTTCAGGGGGGTGGAGAAAATCATGGCCAACCCATACTTACCGTCGTACCCGTGCTTTCAGTCATGGAACCACAGATTACCACTGCCAACCACTGTTTCGCGAAACAGTGGTTCCTTTCACCACTTCCTATAGGTACCACTGTCTTACCACTGTTTACCACTATCTTTACCACTGATACTACTGTTTACCACTGTCAAGAAAGATAATGGTTTACAGTGGCACTGTTTACCACTGTCAACCACGGTTAACCTTGTTGGCATTGGTTGGCACTGGATTTCTCCAACCTGATCAATGTGGAGTTGGGGTAATATCTGTTCTTGCATTGGTTAATGCACTTCTCGCTCACAAGAATCTTTTCGTAAACTTCGCCCTCACAACAATCTTTTCGTAAACTTCACACGACAGCTCTTTGGGAGCTGAGCACTCTACTCGCAAGAACATGGCACGGATCGGACAGCATCTATCTACCGCTACCTTTACCGGTACAGTACTTACGAGTGTTCGCCGGCGCCTTGTGCAGCATTCAAGGTTCTGGTCGAACCAGCGCCATCACGTGGACAGGCAGATACATGATACATGTAGCGGGCCAAAGGTGCATCCCCGACAGTTATCGGTAGCTAGTAGATGAAGGCATTTTGCAACTCCTGTTACGGGGCCCGTGCCGACAAACAAAAGTTCTTGTGATGGAGCTCATGTTAATCGGATTGCTTCTCGATCGAATGATGTTCGCTCCAAGCTCACAAAAGCGAAGGCCCAGCCTCAACGAATTACCGTCTGTAATAGGTCGCTCGCTTGCTTACTTACTGAGCATTTATTTTTCAATTCACTGCCAAGATCATCATCGTTCGCCATGGCCCCTCCGATGCCGTCTGCAATTCGTGCCCTACTCTACCAAGACTACGACCCGGAAGATGTCAAAATCTTGGATCAATTCAAAATGGGAGCTACCGTCGAGTTTGCACATGGCCGAGGCACATTCCACAGCCACTTGGAGGGAACGTATGGCATCCTACATGCTTGGGGGCAACCACGGGCCGTGTGCCGGGCAGGAATGACGCATTCTGTGTACTCAGGTGATCTATTCCAGTTCTTTTTGTGGGACGCCGCCCGACAACAAGACAGAGAAACACTTCAGAGTATGATTGGTTCGGAAGCGGAAGGACTGACCTATCTGTTTGGTACCATCAACCGAGCCGAACTGGGAGGACTCGAAAAGGCCATGGATGCCGACCAATCCATGGCGCCTCTTTCACAATCCACCATTCCTGTCAAGAGTCGTCTGGAGGGAACAACTACAATCTCCCCCGAGGAAGCAGCCAACATTCTCATCATTACCGTGGCTGATTATTTGGATCAAATGGTGGATACAAATGGTTGGCGAGATCATCATCAGGTGGAGATGATGGATTGTCTCTACCCTGGCGACGGGCGCCCTGCGGTAGCTTTGCATTGGTTCTCCAAAGTTTGCCGTGCCATTCGAAGCAACCTAGCAGTGATTCCACCCGTCTTCAACCACTGTACAGCCGTTCTTTCCAAACAAGATGAAGTGCAGGCTCGGGATGCCTACTGGTATGTGACCTTGCACGAAACGAGCTTGTCCATGGAGGAGCAGATTGCCCATTTGGAAAAAGCGGTCCGGCTGAATCCATTTGTAGGAGAGCCCCACTTGCTGCTAGCCCAGTTGTACATTCGGCAGCAAAAGTACGCCCTTGCCGTTCGGGAGGGTCGCAAGGCTTTGACCAAAATGTATGCTCTTGCAAGTGCTTGGGATAAGCGACGGACATATGCCCAGTGGGTTGGATTTGCCCGCATGACCCTTCTGCGAGCCAGCAGATTGGAACAGTGCCTGCCTCATTTGCCGATTACACCCGAAGCGCATGGGCTTGTGTCCTTACACCAAGTTGTTGCAGAGCTTCGTGTGGACGCAGAAGAATAGTTCATTAAACGTTCACGTAGGTTCGATCTGTTTACTCTAGTCTCTCAACTCAACTCAACTGCTGCCAGGTAGAAGTAGAGGCACATACATTTTAGTGAAATTGTTTCTTGTTTTCAAGGTGGCAACAACCACGAAGCAGCCATGAAGAAAGAAACATACATAGCTCATGATGTTTGTTTGGGGTTTGGGATTGAAGATTCTCTTTCCCATCTTCTTGAGCATCGAGCCACAGCCCTGCCCCGTGGCTGGCTTCTACCGTAGTAGAGCCATCAGCTAGCTAGTTGGTTAACTTACCTCCAGTTTTGACAAGGTTGGATAACATGGGATGCCGAAACAGAGCCCATCCATTGCCTTGCCGCCACCTACGATTGGCTTCTACTGATAGGGGATTATGCTATGCTAAGCGAGCTCGGGTTGGCGCTACTACACTACAATGACGAGGACAAGGACGATGACGAGGCATCAGAAGAGTGCTCCGTGTCGTACGGTACTGGGGTTGGGTCCACCAACGGATTCGAGAGGTGGAGCCTGGGACTGTTTGTGCCGTTTCGCAAAGCTGGAGGATCCGTCTGGTTGCGATGTATTGTGCGATGTGGTTCTAGCGTCGACGGATGTGCTCATTGATGGAATGCAGGCCTGCAATTTTGTAGGCCTTGTCGATTGGGGGATAAACCCAACCTGCCTGGGTGAAAAGGGGTTGTTTGTGGGAGATTCTGCGGGCAACTCTGTCGTGGAAGCCCTGGAGGAGGCGAAGGAACTTGGGTGCAATGACCCAAGTCTCGCAGCTGTAGAGGAGGACAGATTGGACGATGGATTTGTAAAACATGCCAGCTGCCCGTGGGCTGGCGCCTTCTTGGACAACAACGCGGCTGATTTTTTGCCATTTCAGGCGGGCCCGTTTCAAGTTTCGGAGGATTGTGGATAGATCATCGTTGGTGGATGTGATTATCCGTCCAAGATACTTGAAAGAGTTAACTTTGTCAAGTTCCTGTCCAACAGCAGTGAATGGCTGTTGGACGGCAAGATACACGTGGACTGCTCTTTCCCGTTGCTCTTTCTTGTGTGTGTCTTGTTGGCAAGATTTGCTGCCGGAGCGCCGGTGAGAGACTTGGAGTCCACATACATTGCATTTGGGACAGGCTGGGGGTGTTCGTTGTGGATACAGATGTAGTCCTGCGGGTGGCAGGCTCTGAAAATTTAATGGTGTCACACGGCTAGCCAGTGCGTAGTTCTTTAAAAAGTCGAGTTTACTATGGATTAGAGAGAGCTAAGATGAGGATGGAGACAGAGCTCAAGGGGAGGGCACGACGCAGGAACGCAAGGCAGGCAATGAAGTGCACAAGCAGGGCAACATGGAAACCAAGGAAAGGGATGAAGGCAGGAGTGCAGGGAGGAGCAAAGGAGCAAGACTAGTGGAAGAGAGCGAGGGCACCACAGTCATCCCAACGCTTGGAAACCTTGAGAGCTGAGACACGGGAGCCTCTCAAACACATTGTGGTGGCACGGGCAAGACCAGTGCGTAGCTGAACGTACCGGTTACTGGTGGGAGGAGTGGAGAATGTTCTTCTGCTCTTCCATGCTTGTCACGCTATAAAGAAGAAGAAAAACCAGAAAAAGAAGACAAAATAAAATTAATGAGCTTCCCATGCCAGCAAAATTTTTACCGGTACCGGAACCGGAACACCGGAACTGTAAGCGTCTGAGACCGGTAACAAAAGGCTTAACAAATAACAGTGCGATAGCTCACGTTTTGGTTGGTCGCAGATCACAGAACACAGAGAAACTCTCACAACATCAAGGTGCACCGGTAGCAAGGTTGTTCTGTTTTCTCCAAAAAGTGACCCACAGTTTTTGTTTGCGGGCTCCTCTATTTTCCTCATCTTTCACAATAAAACCATGAAGACTGGGTCCACCAAGCAGCCAGCACCTCAGGAGGGTGCATCAATGGATACCGCTGCCAGGCTGGATGCGGTAGAAAAACCAGCATGCCATGGAGAGACACAACGGCTGAAGCAGTCAGCAGTGCTTCCTCTTCCTTCCAAGAAGGGCGTTCCTTTGTCTATTAGAACCGCAGGTATTCGAGCTGAGGAGGGCAGCAACTCAGCGCCTGAATCATCACCCACTGACAACGCGGAGGAGTCTGTTCATGACCACAAGTCATTCTTTTGCATCTGTTGACTCGGGGATACAACCACTTCCATCCTCCAATCCCTGCACAGATGATGATGAACCTGGAATTCCTGGAGCTTACGCTATGGGAGGTAGTGGTATATTTCGCAGCACTATGAACATCTCTGCTACCTCCAGCAGCTACCCAAGCGAGACGTTGGGCTCGCCTCCTGAAGCATCAACAATGGTACAAGCCGTTCCTGTAGTCGAGGAGGACGGGCTCCAAACAGCAGAGCCAGTGCAGCCCAGAAGAGCTGGTCCCAATAGTTCCAGAGCTGAAGAGTCTACTAAACATACATGGGCTTTGGCTTTTGCTTGTTTATGCTGCTGCTGTTGTTGAACCACTATTGGGCTGGGCTTCAGACCAGACAGCGACGAAGAAATGGAAGGAGTTGCCGATTCCACACCACTTGAGGCACTCACAATGGCGCCAACTACTTTTCTGGAGGGGTTGGATTTGCCACACTACACTCTGAGGCACTCCAAGATTCTGGGAGTCCTCAGCATCTGGCATACGAATGGCTTATGGACAACAATACCACCAGCAATGCCAAGCATTACCCAATCTGGAAGCAGCGACAACGCTTCGCGTTGGCAACCACTTATCATTCCCTGGGTGGTCATAGATGGGTCAATGGCGAGCGGTGGCTAGATGGTGACCTGGACGAGTGTGATTGGTATACTAGTAACCCAACGTAGCCGTTCTTTGGCGCAGAATCAAAAAACCACCCTTGTGATGACCAAGGCCGATACAAGCACCTGAAGCTTAGGTTTCAAAATGCCATCGGGTCGATTCCAAGGGAGATCTCCTTACTTTCTTCGAGCCTGGAGACGATTGACCTCAGCTTCAACTTTGAGGTCGCTGGAACGCTACCAACTGAAATCGGATTGATGGCAAGCTTGAAGTAAGTGTAGGAAGCGAAGATGTGTTACAAATCTGTCTATGCATAAGTCTGATCATCCATTGTCCCTTCGGCCACCACTGCAGGGAGCTTTAGGTTGGATTTGCAAACTTGGAGGGCCAGGTGTCAAGCGAATTGGGGGCTCCTCAAAACCTCGAAACTTTGACCACAGGAAGCACTCGGATGACCGGTGAGTGCGCAGGAAGCCTGTCATGGCTCAACGTGCTGCCAAGTCTCACCACCACCCAGGTATTGTCCCCACTGAAATTGGCAATTTGGCTTCTACCATGACCACACTATATATAGGGCACACACACCTTGCCCTCCCAAAGGAGGTCTACAAACTGACTAGTTTGGAAACTCTCTACATTGGGCTGGAACAAGAACCCGTTGGGCCACTCGAACTTCATCGCATTTTCAAGTGCATGAGGAACCTTACTCCTTCTTCCTACCCTATGGAGGGTCTCTTCCGAGTGAGTCAAGTTTATAACGTCCTTGCAAAATCTACCACTCCATCCTCTGTTTGCTCATCATCACTGCCCCCTTGATTATCTGCAGCTGAGCTTTGTCTGCTTTCTGACTTGGAAAGGCTTGGAATTGCTGATACCAACATTACTGGATCACTGCCATCAGAGCTTTGGAAGCTGACAAATCTGGTGAACCTTGATGTTGGGAGCAATGCCTTGACAGGGACCGTTCCAACTGACCTCGCCTTGTTGTCGAGTAAGTGTCTAAAGAGGAACAAACGGAGTGGTTCCTGCTTGCTCTGATTGATACTGAATGTGCTAATGGTTCTCGACCTCTCCCAACCCGCCCGTAGGCTTGGAAACTCTCTACCTCGATTCCAACAACTTGACAGGAACGCTTCCATCAAATGTGTATGAACATCTAGGAGGTCTGACCCGCTTGTACATCAGCGATAATCCAATCTCGGGCACCATCCCCACCGAGGTCGGCCTGTTGGGCAACTTGACCTACTTGCATGTGCACCGCACCTCACTTTCGGGCACGCTTCCGGCGTCTCTTTTATCCTTGCTTCAACTTGATAGTAGGCTGTCTCTTGTAGATACCAATCTCTCCGGAAGCATCCCTGATGGCCTGTGCAATGCCACCGTTCGCGACGAGTTGAATTGCCCCCGACTGGATTTCATGTGCCAGCCTCGTTTTGTCACTTGGAATGCGTCTGTTTGCGAGGGAACTGCGCTTTGTGGTTGCGGTTGTGACGAGTGCTCCTGATGGTACCGGTATGTGAATGAATAAACGGCCGTTAGCTAGCCAGAATTGCTATTACACTGTATCCTATCCAGTATGTAGCGTACCGGTAGACCCGGCTAGCTAGCTAGAATACCCCCTATTGGCCAGGTCAGTGCTGCAAACCAAAAGGCAGTATCTTTCTTTGCTAAAGTACCGGAGGGCTCATGGTTTAAATTGCTCAGTTTCTCTTGGTGCAAGCAAGCAAGCAAGTTGCTCAGGATTGATGTCGCGCTTCAAAGGCAGTGTGCCTCGTGACAACGCCATCAGTGGCTTCGTAGCTCCTCACCACGAACGAAGGCATCTGAAAAGTGGGCCCTGCCACCCGTATAAATAAATGAGTGGCGAGTGCTTTGATCAATTATAAAATTGATGTTCTCGGGCTGCGCAACGTTTGGTACCAAATTGTGGCGTCGATTCCACAATTGTGCACCTCGTCCTGGTCGAAGACCACCAATCGTGTTCATTTCCGATAGTTGTGCCAACCATGCTTTACATAATTAGACAACGGTCAAATTTTTGTTGGCAGGTGACTCCCGCTTGCATACAACGGTTGGATCTTTTCCAAAAAGATCTCCAAAGTGATTGGAAACGGCATCGGAATGGATCCAATCCGGAAGCAGGGTCTTGCTTGGTACTTGCCTTGCTGGGCCAGGCAACGATTGATCCTTCATTCTTTCGTTGTTGCCATAATATATACAATCTGCCAGCAGATCTCACAACAGAGAACTCCATCAATCAATCAATCAATCAATAGGTCAAGAAGAAGTTACCATGGTGCGTCTTTTCGAATGCTTGCTTTTGGATGCCTATCATCTCGTCAGTTAGTTTCTAATTAATTGTTCTTTCTTTCATGATTCATTTGTTTTCTATGATTCTCCGTTTCTCCTTGCAAAGCCTCCTCCCCACCACGATCATCATCACCACCACCATCACCATGAAATGGAAGATTGGGACGATTATTGGTGGCACGAACTTCCCAAGGACAAGCAAGATGCTGCCACTGTCCTTGGATGGACCGAGAAGATGTGGGACGATGATGGCAAGGCGGATACCGAAGATTTGGATTGGGGCGAATTGAGCCACGAACAAAAAAAGGCGGCCGAAGCATTTGGATATCACCCCAAGTTGTGGGATGAAGGTCCTGGGGTAAGTGGTTATTACTATCGCACATGCAGTTGGTTTGGATATAGCAAAAAGCCATGCTACCCATCATGTGTTGCTACCCATTTTTTTCTTATCATATCTTTTTTATTTCTTCCTTAATAAAAAACAAACAACAGCACCACCCTCCTCACCACCACCCCCCTCATCACCACGATCATCACCATCACCACCCTCACGAAGATCACAAGCCCGACGGAAAGCCCAAGGAAGAAGAAAAGAAGGATGGAGACGACGAAGAACCCGATATTAGCAACTTGAATGTCAATGACGGCGACAAGAAGGAAAGCGACAAGAAGGAAAAGCCTCAGTTCAAAGTATCCAAGACGTTTGGTGGCGGTGGCGGAGCGCCTTTTGATCACGGCAACAATCGGAACATTTCCAAGATTACCGTCTTTCACGATGGTCATGCGGTGCGCGGACTCGAAGTACACTACGGCAACATGACAAAGAAGGCGGGAGAATGCAAGGGCAAGTCCAAGACGCTCGAATTGAACAATGGCGAATTCATTACCGGTGCCACGGTCCGCAGCAACGAGCTGGTTCAGTCGTTGGCATTCAAAACCAACAAGGGAACAGAATTCGGACCCGTCGGTGGAAAAGGATGGAGTAAGTTGAATCCATTGGGATTTGGTGACAAGGAAGGAGAAGAAGTCAAGGTGCCGGCACCTTTCAAGTTTCAGTTGGTTGGATTTTCAGGAAAGGCGGGATCGTACATTGATCAAGTGGCCTTTCGATGGGGACCCGTCCCGCAAATGAACAAGAAACAGCAGCAGAGCAAGTAGGTTCTGCCTCCCACACAAAAACAACGACGACAAAAAGTCAGCATTCTGTCTGTAGTCGCTCATTTGAAATGAACCGATGAAAAAGAGAATGGATATCCTCGCATCGCATCAAACACACAAGAGCAGTGCTCAATCAATACATATAGAACTAAAATTGAACGGAAACGATAACGACATTACGCAAAAATCCGCACACCATTTTCACCACGTACATTCGCTAGCATCAACAGTTTTCGGGACCCCCGAGAGCACGCAGAGGCTGCCTGCGTCCATTCGAGGCACAGGCATCGCAACCAGTAAACGTCAGCCTTGACCCCAGCACCAGAAATCTCACAACAGCCCAGAACTTCTCAAGACGGCTAGCCCCAGCACTGCTATCCTCACCAAGGCACTGGAGAGGTTTCAAGACGACCAGCCCCAGCGCTTCTTCGTATCATTGTATCGAAATCAACGAAGGCAGAATCGACTTCATTCTTCATTCATGGGCCATTGGCATCGTCCAATGCAATGTGCTTCAGTAATTCATCACGACGGTTATGCCTCCTGCTCCGTCCCAGTGGGAACATGTGAACGGAAAACACGATGCTTACAAAGATTGCCCCATGCACTGGAGTTCTCTACGGTAGCTAGCTAGATAGGTTCTGATTGAGCTTGAATGCTTTCGAGGATCTGGTCGGTGTCAAACCGTTGGAGGCGGCTCTCAAAAATATGACATGTAAGAAGAGAGCAGGATGCGGACTTCGTGATTCGAATCGAATCTATCCATTCTTGAGACAGCTGCACCAAGCGAAAGCCTGAGAGAACAAATAATGAAGGACCAGTGTGTCTACAATGGCCAGCGGAGACTTGGAGCTTGGGGAAGTAGGAGCATTCTATGCATGCAGCATTGCTGTGTCTGGTTTGGTGCTTTGGTAGAAAATGAATTCGAGCGAGAGTTATCAGCGTAAGTTGTCTTTTTCTCACATCCAAAACAAATCACACCTTGCTACCGTAGAACTAAGCGTTTCCAGCTACGAACGGCAATACCGTGGCTACCGTAGCTAATAGGATACAGTAGCTTGGTTTTAATAAAAAATATGAATCTATAAACCTTTGTACAAAAATAAATATCATCAGAAGTGAGTCGGCTCTTTGTTCCTTTGCTGAGGCGTCTCTCAAAGGATGCCGACTAGCTAGCTAGGGCAGGATTTGAAACATCGGTGCCCTGCTTGCTAGCTAGCTAGCTGGTCCGCAAGTGGATTGAGGCAAACCGGCATGAAACTGGGTGTTGGTGCACGGTATCTCCGAGAGTCGGTAGAATGACCAGGCGAGGGTTGTTCGGGTGGGTGGATTGTGGTATCCATTGTATTATTCTTCCCCTCACAATGCCAGCACTGCTGTACCCATTATGAGTGCCACGATCATGCCTGACAGCTGCCTAGTTGTAGTGACACCACCGGATGCCAAGGCTCCAAATTGTCGCTGTGAGTCGAGACAACCTGCTACTGTTTCCCCACTGCAACTAAAGGTGTTTCGTTCTCCAAAGTTGAGACACCCAATCAGTTTACCATTGCAGTAATTGTAACAGTCACACGTGGTATCCTGCGTCTTGTCCAAAAAGCTGCCACAGACGGCGTTATCGGCATTGACCGTCACGGCACATTCCTTCTTCTTCTCGACGACGGTATCTTGAGCCGTGGGAAGCTCCTGGGTGTTGAAATTGGCTTGGGCTTGGCGACATCCGGCCACGATTCTTCCCACGCATTGAAAGGGCCGGTGTTCTCCAAAGGCTCCACATTGGATCAGTTCGTCGTTACAAAACGTGTAGCAATCGCAGTCCTCCGGAGTGCCCAATGGAACACGGTGTAGTAACGAGGCACAGAGCTCATCCGTGTTGCCCACAGTGACGGGGCATTGCTGCTGTTGTTGCTCCAGAAACAACTCTTCCTGGGATTGGGCGGTAGCAGTAGCCATCATGGCGGCTAGCAGTAGCAACCAAAATCTCATCATCTTCATCATCTTCATCATGTTGACGTTTTGTGAGGCTTGGAAAAGAAGGACCAAGGACTACCGTACCTCTACTATCCGTTTGGAGGATGAATCGAATCGAATATAATATCTCAACAGGATGGATGGGCAATGATGAGGTCAAGTCAAGTCAGTTGCTTCATGTGTTGTGACCGGGTTTTCGGCAGGTTATGGAAACGATTGAAAGAAACTTCTTTCCGTGGGGGAAGATACTTTGGCCACCCGCCAAGGCCATCATCGTTGGTGTTACCGGGTCCAAAGCGGTCCGCTATGGGGATCGTGCTTCTTAATGGCCATTTTCGGTTGCCGGTGACTGTTCGAGTAAAGTGCGCCAAAAATTTCAAAACAGAGCAAGCCAATCACGGTACCGGTACCGTAGAACAATGGCGCCAACAAGCCGTATCCTTCCAAGCAAAACGAACCTACTAGCTAGCTACTAGTAGCTAGTAGTAGACTACTAGCTAGACTGCAGTAGACTACTACATGTAGTAGCTAGAAAAGGGCATCGAGAAGATATCGCCCAAGAAAGAGCGAGTGGCATCGGCAAGGAACGGTTGCATTGGTGCACCTCTTCCACTAGCTAGCTAGAAGGTGGTACCGGTACTGGTACCAGTAGCCAGCTATCAATTACCAGTGCACGTGTACTGAGTAATTGCCACCGGTACGGGGCCTGAGTAGCTAATAGTACCGTTGCAGATCAGCCACCGTTGCTTGTTGCGCCAGCTGTGAAGCATTGGTCCTTGCAATCTTCTAGAAGACTATCACGCCGCCACTGCCTCTTGTTTCGGAAACCAGAAAGAAGCCGAGCGACACTGGCATAAAGGAGCCCTGCTACTACTCCAGTATCATTGTAGCCGGGACGAAACGGATTGCAGCGGGATTCTGGCTGGCTGGCCAGTAGCGTTACTTTGCTTTTTGCTTGCTTCCTACGAGCCTGCCTGCGGTACAACGGCATTCTTGGTGCCCTACACAGCTCCACTAATAGCACGCATCAAACGCCAACACAAGCAGCAGAAGGGCCTCACGGCAACAAAAAAATACAGCAACCATTCGATCACAATAACAAACTTCACCTAATAGGTTATTTTATCTCCTAACTGAGAGTTGTGATATGCATAAATTTCATGTAAAACAGCAACACTCTCGAGTGCTAAGATACTCGAGAGCAAACAGACCGACCCAAACAGCTCGCTTCACTTAGGCTGACTTCTTGTCCTCCAGGTACTGGCTCTGCACATACTGCAAGATGTTTCCAAAGCGGTCTGCGGCAACAACGGTATCAAATCGGAATTCGTGGAGGAATTCACGGGCTGTGTATTCCCAAGTCTCTCGCTCCAGGTTCTGGTACGGTTCAATGTCGGCCTGTGTAGTTTTGGGAGCCAGGGAAGTCTTGATCTCCTCAATCTTGGGCTTCAAAAGGTCAAAGACACGGCGACCAATAGCGGGGTCCAATCCATAGCGCACCCAGAACTCCACAAGGAAGAAGAAGAAGACGAGACGATAGCCAAGATGGCGGAAAGTGCGGCGATGTAGCAGGCAAGTCCGACTGTTCGTCATCGGTCTCTGCAATGAACTCCCGATCGATCAGACCCCAAGGCAAGGCCACACACGCGGTGCCGACCGTCCCAACGCGCAGCAAAGTCAGCAAAAATTGAACAAAGGTGACCCAGCGGACTTGGAAAATTTCATTGCTCATCTGGCCGCCATGGTTGCGACCCAAAGAAAAGTGGAGGACCGACCAAGTGCCTGAGCTTAGCGGAGGAAGTGGAAGAGTGCCAAAAAGCACCATAAAAACAGCAGAACAAAAAAAGCCCCCAAACCCGGCCCCATAAGCTGTTTTTCCAAGTAACCAACCACTTCTGGAACATCATCACCGTAAGCCAAGGCAATGATACGGAAGACAGTGACAATGCTGACGGCAAAGAAAACCAGGGCACCACTCAAGAAGACGGCACTCGCGACTTCGCTCTCTGTGGTGGCACGGTAAAGGTCTCGAACATCAACAATTGCGCGGTTGAAGAGGTAGTTGTTGCTTGATCCATCGGGACGAATCTTCCTCATCGCGTTCAGGATTCTCGAGGTCTGGTACCCAACACCGCGCAGATGAAGGGAAGAAGAAGGAGAGGAAGTAGCGGATCGATACCACAACAGCCCACTGGCTGAACTTGCGGCGTTTGAAGAATCCATAGCTAATCGCTTGAGACTCCAACGAGGCCTCCAATTTAGGCTTGAAAGTCTTGAGCATGTCCAAAACATCCCCCGTCTCGCCGCCCTGGATTTGGCCACCCTGGGTTCTGCCTTGTCGGATCTCATTGGTAGCAGCGTAGATCATGACGAGCTGTTCTTGGAGGTATGAGTTCGCGTGGAAAGTTTTGGGGATAAAATCGCCGACGACAGCTCGCATGAATTTCGCGGCAGCCCCATCATTGTGGATCGCTGCCTTGAATTCTGCGTACGCATCTTTGAAGGATTGGACCACAGCATCGGAATAGCCGTAGTACCCGGCCTTGTAGATGAATTCGTTGGCCAGGTTGTCTAGGTCCACAGCATAAGGATTCTCTTCGAACATCATTGACTCTCGCTGGTCTCGGCGCAACAAAGAAAAGACAGCCTTCTGGACCTTCAAAAACTTCTTCTCGGCGTAGTAGCGCCTATGCTCCTCGTTTCGATTCTTGTAACGGGAAACATTGGTCATGGTCCCGAAGGCAAACCAGATACTGAAAAGACCAGAAACCAACGATGCCCATGCTCCAGCGCCGTCCACAACAGCCAACCCCGCAGCAGCGACGGCAAAGGCGACTGACTGCGTCAACGAGTTGGCGAAGTTCTGAGCTTCCACAGCAAAGTCATCAACAATGGAGTCAACGGGCTTGGGCTGAGTGAACATCTCCGAGGTGAATCTCTTGTTGTCGGCGCGCAACTCCAAGGAGTAGTTGATCGCGTCTGCCAAGGCGTCGGTGGTGAATTTGATGAACATGCTAGTGTCTGAAGAATACCTTTCAAGGGCTGGGGACGTCCCTTTGAAGGCTTCAAAGTACAAATCCAAGTCAGAATCGATGCGGCTCATCTCGGTTTCGTTCATATCGTTCATGTTCATCTCTAACTTGACGCCATCTTCGAACTTCTGCTTCAGCACGTTGCGCAACTCCCCAATCATGGCGCTGAGGTACACCGAGTCATTTTCCAACCCACGAGGCACCAGCGACGCGGCCATCTTGATCTTCCAGTCACGAGAGAGAATATTTTGCTCCATGATGAGGCCGGTCTCGTGGTACTCTTGGGCCTTCTGGTAGAGGTAGTCAACCAGGAGTGTGTATGTGAAACCCGGCCTGAGGAATCCGTCCTGCAAAATGAAGCGAGGCGCTGACGGTGAGCCGAGCGGGAGCACAGAAAAAGCACAAGAGCACAAGACAGAACAAAACATACCTCTCCGTAGTTAGCTCCAGTTCCACGCTGAACAACTTCGCCATTGCTCCAGTTCGTTTCAAGCCCGTATCGCTGGACGCGGGCCTTGTAGTCAATTCCAGCAACCGCCTGACCGATCATGTTGTTGAATGACATACAGTTGATGCAGGCACCGGTCAAACCACTGTATCGCATGAAATGGGGCGACGCCTGTCCATCTCCAACGAAGGCCATCATGTAGCCTTCGAGGGCTTTTGGTGTCTTGACATTCAGCTTCACTGCGCGGTTGCAGACGACATGGGCCACTGGGAAAGCCGCAAGGGCAACCTTGGATTCGGAGTAACCGTCGACACCTCTGCTCAAGTCGCTGAGCCTGTGAACCTTCACATCGTTTGGCATCTTGACGATGAAACCAGAAGTGTTGCGCACGATAGAGTAGCCACCAGCCCTGAAAAGGATCTCAAAAGAGGCCAGCGGAATGAATCGGTCGTTGTTTTTGAGGGACTTGAGGGTAGTCTTTGTGTCCCTCTTCAATTCATTGACGGGGGTGTCAACCGGCAATGGGAACGACTTCTGCCCACTTTCCAACCGTGCCATGACGCTGGCGCCATCAGCCCCAGTGACAACCCAAGGGCGGCGTGCGAGCACACAGGCTTCCGCAACCGGCAAATCACCTAGGTTGTCCTCCAGAGGGGAATCAATTGTGTAGAGTTGTGGAATATTTGCTCGACCGCCTGCAGCAACAACAACCGAAGAACCGAGTGAGCGGCTGGATTTCATGGAGACGGGTTGCATTGTCCTTCCCTAGCTTACCTGGATTGTAGACATCACCCTCCTGGATGACCTCCAAACAGGCTTCATACCACAGCCGATCTATGGCGTGCATGATCGAAAAACGTAGCCTTGCCACGGCTGTCTTGGTTGCCTGCGGAGCGTGCTCACGGGCATCCTTCACCAGTTCCTTGGCAGCATCGTTCTTCAGCTTGTCGAATTCTCTTGCAAATTCCATACCCTATAGACAGCACACAACCAAGTTGAGTTGCCCATCGTCAGATCTCAGAATCTTGTCTAGTATCGGGCAACCAACTTACCAAATAATAGTTCATTCCGAGCTCAAAGAAGCGAGTTTGCAGACGGCCCGAAAGCGAAACACCGCCACTCTGCACACACAAACGATCACAGTGACTCATTGTTGACTCATCACTCCACTCTTCAAGCACGGATCGAAACAATATACCCTCGAACTGATGGCGCGCCTCGAAGTGTTCGCAATGAAATGATGAAAATCTGCGTGCCCCAAGATGACCGAAACTTTTCC